CCCCCACAGTGCCTTTCGACTTGCGCGACGTCCGCACGTGCAAGTCCTCTGCGGCTTGCTTCAGGTGCAGGTCCCCCCCCCCGTCCATGCAGGTAAACCTGCCGGGGTCTAAAAGACGGGCTCTTCCTTGCGCGACAGTCCGTGAGGTCCAGGGCTGCTCGGGCGTGCGCTTCGAAGGAGGAAGGACGCCGTACGCATAAACTTGTGGCGCTCCGCGCGGGTCTCTTGGATCCGCGCTGGGGCCCAGCCGGCGGCACCTCCTGCTCCACCCCTGGCGCGTTCCGCGACCGAGGGCGGGGGGTCCGACGCGGATCCAAGAAATCCGCGCGGAGCGCCAACAGTTTATTGTTGATGGCGTTGTCGGACGCCAAAAGAAATCCGCGCGGAACGCCACACGTTTTTTGTTGTTGTATTCTTCTATACTCGGGCATCTATTCGTATATTGTCGTTGTCGCTGTGATATGTACTCCAGCTATCGTTCTGCATGCCACCCACACTGTCAATTTCATCTCCAGGATCTTCGTATTTGTTCGATTCGTATTGGGTCGTCTACTTATGCTCGTTCGTGCCGTTACCAACGACATGTATCTTACCTTGGACAATGCGTTCCCCCAGCTTTTGTGGAAGCTGGCCCTCTTGGGGCTGTCTTGGAGGCCTGAGGCCGTTATGGGGCCATCTTGGAGCAGTAGGGCCCCGAGAGATCCCAAGGGAAAGTTCCAAGACTGCCACGGCCCTCCAAGACGGCTAAAAAGGTACGCCTGCACTGGGCTGCTTGGGTGTGGGGGCTGGGCTTGCCACAAGACAGCCCAATGGGGTCCCAAACGGCCCCCTGAAGACCCCCAAGAAGCCCAAGAGACGCCAAGTAATGCCATGGCTCCCGACAGCGAGCGGTAACGCAACAAGCTCGTGACACCAAGGCTCCCCAGAGCGCGGTGACGTAAAAAGCTCTTAACAGCAAGGCTCCCAAGCGCGAGCGGCAACGTAAAAGTCTCTGAACACCAGGGCTCCCAACAGAGGGCGGTGGCGCAACAAGCTCTTAGCACGAAAGCTTCCAGGAGCGAAGGGTGCCATGAGCCATCCATCTCGGGCAAGTCAATTCCTGAAGCGTTCTTTCCCTTCTCGTGCCAGCCCAGGTGACGGAAAGAGCGTTCACGCGGTTCCGTTTTGGGTAGGGCGTCAGCCCGAGGGGGGTGGGTCCAGGGGAAGTCGGGAATGCCGGGCGCAAAGTTTAGTCGCCCTCAGGGTCAGGGGGCCCGAAACGGTGGAAGTGGCGCCCCATACGGCCCAAGATTCGCCCAAGAGGCCCCCAAAACGGCCCAAGAGGGGTCCAAGAGGGATCCACGACGGCCCAACGCACCCCAAGAAAGCCCAGGCCCGCCTGAGAGCGTTCCACGATGGCTCCATATTGCTTCAAGACGACGGAGGAGGGCTCCAAGAAGGTCCAAGCGACCCCCAAGAGGACCCCCAAGAGGGCCTGAGGAGGCCCAACACATGTATGTTTCGTATGCTTTTCTGTGTTTTTCGATTCTCGCTTTTTCGGGCTTCCGACGGCCAAGGACGGCTCAAGATGCCCCCAAGATTGTCTTAAGATGGCCCCAGAGGTTCCCAAGAGGGCCCCAAGGCGCCCCAGGGGCCCCCAGACGGCCCCGGAGGGCCCCAAGCCGGCATAAGAGGGCCCCCAGAGGCTCCCAAGAGAGCCCCAAGTGGGCCCCATGAGGCTCCCAAGAGGGCCCCAAGGAAAGCTCCAGGCCGGCCGAATAGAGCCCCAAGTGGGCCCCATGAGGCTCCAAGAGGGCCCCAAAGAACGCTTCAGGCCGGCTGACGGCGTCCATGACGCCCCAAGAGGGCCACAAGAGAGCCAAACGAGGCCCCAGCAGGACCCCCAGGAGGCCAGACACATGGATGTCTCTGAAAGGTTTGGGAGTTGTTTGGATTCTCGTTTTTGTTCGCCTTTTCGGGCTTCCGACGGCCCAGGACGGCTCAAGGGGCCCCCAAGATCGTCTTAAGATGGCCCAAGAGGCTCCGAAGATGGCCCCAGGGCGCCCCAAGAGGCTCCCGGGACGGCTAAAGAGGGCGGCAAGATGGCCCTAGAGGGCACCGAGAGGCTCCCAAGAGAGGCTCCCAAGTGGGCCCCATGAGGAGGAGGAGGAGGAGGAGGAGGAGGAGAGGAGGAGGAGGAGGAGGAGAGGAGGGGGGAGGGAGGAGGGAGGAGGGAGGAGGAGGAGGGGGAGGAAGGGAGGAGGAGGGGAGGAGAAGGGGGAGAGGAGGAGGGGATGGAGGAGGGGGAGGGAGGAGGAGGAGGAGGAGGAGGTGAGGAGGAGGAGGAGGAGAGGAGAGGGAGGAGGAGGAGAGGAGGAGGAGGAGGAGGAGACGAAGGGCAGCACCCGCAAGGCTTCCGCAGCGTCGCCGGGCCCGCGGCCCTGTCGCAGCCCGATGCTATCGCGGCTCTGTCTGAGCCGCGCGGCCGCTTCGGGCGCGCGCTCCGCGTCTCGCCGCTGGAGCCCGCGGCGCTGCCGCCGCAGGTCGGCACCGCCCAAACATGCTTTCACCACTGATGAGGGGAAGCACACATATACACGCACACACACAGACAGGCAGACAGACAGACAGACCGACAGACAGGCAGACAGACCGACCGACCGACCGACAGACCGACAGACCGACAGACACACAGACAGACAGACAGACACACAGACACACAGACAGACAGACAGACCGACCGACCGACCGACAGACAGACAGACAGACAGACAGACAGACCAGACAGAGACAGAGACAGGCAGACATACAGACACAACTATTCGTCGATTCCCCGGAAAATATGGGACACGTGGGAAGTGGGGGGGGAAGACGAAACTCCAGAAAATATAAGGACTTCTGATGGGAATCCTGGGATGTCTGTCTATGTCCCTGTAACCAAAGGATTGGGTTCTGGTTATTACTCTGACCGCGACGACTCCTTCTTCAGGTTACCTCCTCCCCTCCTCCTTCCCTTACCCATCTGATTCAAATTACGATGATGCTGATACTGATGCTGATGCTGCTGCTACCGCTGATGCTGATGATGATGCTGCTGCTGCCGACGCTGCTGATGATGATGGTATTGGTGATGATGATGTTGATGATGATGCTGCTGATGATGATGATGATGATGACGGTGATGATGATGATGGTGATGATGGTGATGATGATGTTGATGATGATGATGATGATGCTGTTGATGATGATGCTGCTGATGATGATGATGCTGATGATGCTAATGATGATGATGCTGATGCTGATGCTGATGCTGATGCTGCTGCTGCTGCTGATGATGATGATGATGATGATGATGATGATGATGATGATGATGCTGATGGTGATGACCAGAAAAGGGGCCAGATTGTGGGTCTGTCTCGAGCGGTTTGCCTGTTTGGGTGGCTGGACTCATCTGTTCTCAGAGCAGCTTTTGAGGATATCTCGAGCGGTGTGCTGGCTTCAGCACTCCTAGGGGGGGGGCGCCATGTGTATTGCATTTCCTCCGATCGCGCCCAGTTGGTGGGGATGTCTCGAGCGAGGCGCTTGTTTTGGTGCTCAGCATCCTCGACTTTCGGTGCATATTTGGAGGATGTCTCGAGCGAGGAGCTCGTTTTCGCCCTCAGGGGGGGCAGATCCTCAGGAGATCTCGAGTGGTTTGCTTATTTTGCTGGCCAGATTCGTGGGCACGGATCCTCTTCAGTCCTCAGGATGCCACAGGAGGCTCCTGGGCCATCTTGGGCCCTTCTTGGGCCGTCTTGTAGCCCTCTTGGCGGCTTGGGCCGTTTTGGGGCTCTCTTGGGGCGTCTGCGACGCTCTGAAGGCCCAAGAGGCGAATTTGGTAAAATTGTACGTTTCCCCAAGAGAATGGGACACTTGTTGCTTATGTGGGCCTTCTTTGGGAGGCCTTTTTCCCAGGGCTTCTGAGGGCATCATGGAGGCTTCTGGAGCCGTCGTGGGGACATCTTGGGCGTCTTGAAGCGATCGCTCGGCGACTCGGGGCCCTCTTGGCCCCCATGTCGGGGCCCTCCTGGGCGATGGGGGCCGTCCTGGAGTGAGCTGGAGCCCCGACCCCCCCCCCGTCGCGTAAACGTAAGAGTGACCTTTCGCAGGAGTGACCTTTGGTGCGTGCCAAATGGGGCCCTCCGATCTCCGAACGCGAGGCGGCAGTGGCGTCTTGCGCGCTTGTGTTTGGCCCCCCCCCGCGGCCCCCCAAAAGCCGCGCACCAAAGGTCACTCTTACCCAGGGTCATTCTTGCGTGTAGCCGACCCCCCTCCCGCCTACCCCGGCAGAGAGCCACCCCGGCTCCCGCCCCCCAGTGGAGCTGAATCTGAGGAATTGAGTCTCGGGCTGTTCCTGAGGGCCTTTGAAACTCGCACGCCGGATCGGCGGACTGCTGGCCAGACTCGTGGGTGCGGATCCTCTTCAGGATGCCACAGAGAGCACCAGCAGGCTCCAGGAGGCTCTAGGAGGCAACAGGAGGTACCAGGAGGTACCAGGAGGCTCTAGGATTATGATGTTGCAACCTACTTTAGCCTTGATCACCAGAAAGCATTTCGAGCGCCCAGAAAAGTGCCCCCAAACTCGCGGGTTTTCACGTGTCGGGCCCTGGGAGACACTCGGCCGACACTGTTTCGACACTCTTTCGTCACTTTTTCGACACTTTTCCGGGTGCTCGAAATTAGTTCTGGGAAGTGGCCCTTAAGTACGATGGGAGCAACACATAGCTCTAGGAGGCAGCGGGAGGCACAGGAGGCCACAGGAGGCTCCAGGAGGCGCCGGGAGGCCCCGAGAGGCCACGCGAGGCCACACGGGGCCCCAGGAGGCCACGGGAGGCCCCACGAGGCCCCAGGAGGCCCCAAGAGGCCAGGGGAGGCCCCAGGAAACCCTGGGAGGTTTCAGGAGGCCCCAGGAGTCCCCAGGATCATGCTCAGAGACGCGCTCGTACTACCTAGACGCATTTGCACTCCAATTGTGTTAACAGTACTATTCACTCCCAGACCGTCGATACCCAAGCCCGCTTACATTCGAAAGCTCTCGCGCCTAGACGCTCACGGCGGACTGGTCCATGCTAATATATGTACAGATGGGGAGCTGCACGCTGTGAATACGTATTTGTTTCACCCATGTGCATGTGTGCGTCGGCCTTGCAAGATGGTATTTATTTGTTGGCCGATCGGCGCGGGCCCTCGCACCCCCACCCCCTCCCCCCCATGGACCAAGCCCCTACAAACGGGGTGTCAATACACGGGATGGTATCTAAGGGACCTCTACGAGCGAGTACAAGGCGACAGGATATGTACCTCGCACCAGTGCGTGATACATCGGGCCGGCAAAATCGTCGATACATCATCAGAATTCTGGGCGGAGGGATTACCTCGCACTTGTGCGCGACAAATCTCGTTTTCGAGGGCACGCCAGAAAACGCACCCTTAGCTTCCTCCCCGTTTACAAACTCCCCGTTTGCATGGGCTTGGACGGAGTAGGCCTTGGCTGCCTTTGGCGCCTGCACCAAGCAGGCGGAGTCTTGCCCAGGGGACGACCCGCTGCAAACATGCGCCTCCGGCCGAGGTCCGGAGCCAGAGCACCCCCCCAGACTTCCCGCCCAGTCTCGGGGGTGGAGAGAACCCCCAACACTGACACGTCGATTAGTGAATTTTCCGTTTTCGGTTCTCGAGAGGGCGCCGTGGCTCCCATTTTCCAGGCTTGCGCAGGCCAGGTTTGGGCCCCAGGTCGTTTTCACTAAACCACGTTTTACGAAAGGGAGGTCTGTCCATCCCGATTATGCCCTTCGAGACTCCCACCAACTTACCACCCCACTTGGGGATACGCCCCTCGAAACCCGCAGGGAACGGTCTGTACCCCCACCTATGGGGGGTGCAGCGGCCAGTGGGGCCCAGGCCGCGCCGCTGGGGATGGGGATCGGGGAAACGATATGCATAAACGTAAGAGCTGGTTGTGCGATCTGTTCGTTGCGGACGCACGCCTCCAAGGAGGACGCGCAGTACCAGTGTGTGATTCTGCGCCCCAGCAGGTCGCGCGCGGCGGCGGCGGCCGCGGCGCCGCCGCCGAGGCTCGAAGAACAAGAAGCGCACACGCAGAAGTCCTCGGATGCCCGCGCGCTCCCAGCGTGAGCCGAACCGCGACGGACGTTCTTTCCTGCGTGTGCTTTCGGTCTTCTGAGGGTCCCTGCGAGGCCCGCGTGATTCTCTTGGATCGGCGCCGGGGCCCCCTGGGCGGCGCCTCCGGCGCCGCCTCTGGCGCGCTCCGCGCGCCGGGGCCCTGAGGGAGGAGCGTCGATCCGCGCGGGCGTCCGAGAACTTCTGTATAACTGTGCTGGTTGTTATGTCCTCCTCCCTTCTCCCTCCTCCCTCCTCCCTCCCCCTACCCCTCCCCCTCCCCCTCCCTCCTCCTCCTCCTCCTCCTCCTCCGCCTCCTCCTCCTCCTCCCCCGCTGGTTTTTATGTCCTCTGGAGGCCGCCAGCAGCGCGCCGACGCCCGCGCGGGCAGGGGCGCGTGGGGGGGGGCAACGTTAGGTTGGGGCCCATCCTCAAGGGAGGAAAAATACAACCCGGACCGGACACTTGGCGTTTCCCAAACGGCCCTGGGCGTTTACGAACCGGCCCTGCCCTGTTCGATTCCTTCTCTGGGCGCGTCGGCGAAGCGGCTCCGCGTGTCGGGGTGGCTTTTCTGCCCTCTACATCCCCCATTTTCTGTGCGATTGGATCGCAGGTTCCAGGTCGACGTCTCCCACCCGAACGTGTCCTCACCGTGCGGCTCCTGGGCAATTAGCTTGGCCAAACGGGACGGTCCGGGCAGCCTTGGCCGCCCCGTGGAGCCCGTGTTTCCCCACGCCGGCGTCGCCGATGCATCGCCGTCGCCGTCGTCGCCGGTGCGTCGCCGACGCATCGCCGATACATCGGCGATTCATTGGCGATGAGGCGCGATTCTTCGACCCCACCTGCTCGGACCCCACCTGGGAGGCCGGAGTCTGGCAGGCCGCCGTGGACCGCGTCGCACGCCCGAAAGCCTCGAACCTCGAACTTCCCCCTGGGCTCGCCGCCGAGTATCGGCCGCTCCCGGGGCTCGTCTCGGTTCCTCCGATCCGATTCGATTCGATTCGATTCCGATTCGATTCGATTCGATTCCGATTCGATTCGATTCGATTCGATTCGGTTCGATTCGATTCGATTCCGATCCGATCCGATCCGATTCGATTCGATTCCGATGGATTCCGACTCCGGCTCGATTCGACTGGAGGCTCCGATCCGATTCGGGCTCCAGCTTCCCCCACGCGGTGGCCCGCCGGCCTGCCGATCTCCGCCGAGGCGGCCTCTCCAGACGTGGCTGCCGAGCTCCTGCCGATCCGATTCGTCTCGATCGCCGATGCGGCTTTTACCGATTCGGTTCTCTGGGGGCTCCTGCGCTTGGCATCGCTCGGACGTGTGCACTGTTCCCTCGGCGAGGACCATCGAGGAGCATCCT